CAACAACAAAATGATTTAATAAACGGAGCCTGCAGTATGCCTTTGTTGGCGGGGCAATATATCGGAACAATGTGTGCCGACTGTCCAGCTTTCTAATTGCATGCCAGCAGTCAGCTTCCAATGTATCAGAATAAAGTTGTTTGAGTGTTTGATGGTCCAGGGATACAGTAGGGAATAGGGAAAACGCATATTTTTTCAAAAGGTGTGAAAATGGGCCAAAATTCATCAAAACCATGGGCTATAGTCCATGCTTTTTGCCCAAAAATGACCTAATTTGCATATTTTATGAATATCACATATTTTTTGAAAAGGTGTGAAAATGGGCCAAAATCGATCAAAACCATGGGCTATGCATAGTGCGTAGATTTTGGTGAAAAATCACCTGAAATGAACCATCTTTTAGAAGGGATAAATTTGTTACCCAGACAAAAAAGGTGTTTATATTCTCTAGTATTAACCATAGAGAATGAATTTACATCGCATGTAGTATTTGATTATTTTATTAACAATAATTAACACTGTAACAAGTTAACGTTACCAATACAGATTTTTAGCTTTGAAACATATTTACATTCAAAAGCAGCGTCAAGGATATCCCTAGACACATTAGATGAATCTTTGTTTAGGATAACAGAAATCTCAAAACGATAACAGGATTGGACAACTTTAAAGATACGGCGGCCATCTTGCCAGGGGGCAAAACAAAACAAAGATGACAGAAAATATATAGAGTTTTGTGACGGTCTTTACATCTATGGGTAAAGGTGATCGATGTACGATCTCAATTCATCTTTTGTTGTATTCTCTTGTGGTGCGCTGTTAATATCAATCAACGTCATTACTATATAACAATGCTTTATTTGACCCCTGGACACCACATAATGCATTGTGATCCAAGATGGTCACTGTATCATGAAGGTAGTCCATTGTCCAAGTGGAAGGCAATTCAGGATGTGGTTGAGTACCTTAGCCAGTATGTTGAAGGGGGAGAGACATTGGTACCACTAGTATGAAGAAGGCTATCTATTTGGTAATAAATACCAATTGAATATCACTGACTACCTGTCATAGCCAACACAGCTGCAGATCTAGGATGGGTTTACATATTCCTATGAAGTATTCCCTTCCTGTTCTGTAAAATGCCTTTAATTAAGACTAAGGAAAACCCATCTCTCGCTATTTCAAATTTGAAAGTTTTGGATCCCCCCTCCCCCCAAAACATGCCCATCCAGCATGTGCAATGGTTTCTTCTGAGATGAAGGAATCCTATACTGTTGGATTTAAAAATCCACCCCGTTGCACTTGGACAACAATGGATGTATACTTTATATCTAGCATAGTTAGAATGCCTACACTTCCTAGGGAGGATTTAACACTTTCCTATAAACACTGCGCACACTTATATATAACATTATTTTCTCAAGATGCATCCATTGTTTACGTTTTACTACTCTTTGGACGTCTAATAACCATAACATTTCAAATTAATTTTATTCAAAAACATACTATTTTATGCACAATTATAAAAACAATGAATATCTTAAATATAGGTAACTTAGTTTTTTAACTTTTTAAGCAACGTTGATGTGAGGCTTTGCACCATCACGTGGTGGCAGCCATGACAGGAGGCACAAATCTTTCTCCTGGGAAACTGAATTCTGCCTTCTGTCATGGCTTCCACAATGAGTTAAAAAATAACATCAAATCAATCAGAATAATCTCCTTCACAGTTCCCAATTTCATCTTAAAAGGTGACCATGCCTATGCATCGAAGTGAGAATGTCGGGAACTGTAAAGGGACTATTCAAGAAGCTTTAGCAGTGGCATTTGCATAGAAAGGCTCTCGATCTACTGAATATAAATATTTCACTACGGTATGATCAGCAATCCTTTGCTTGTTTTTTTTTACTGCACAACTGAAGAACATTATTTTAAAGTAGCTTTAAGCTATACTGTATGTAGCACACATCTTCAAGAAAAAATTCAATTTGACCGAAAAAAATGTGTGGTTTTCTGCTTTTATATGAGCATAGTGGTTGTAAAAGCAATGAAGTGGAAAGCATTGAACTTTGAAGTTATCTATTTTTTTGTTATATTGTTACGGTAAAACAATCTATGACTACTTAGTAAAGATATTATATTCAAATCAATGTACACTTAAAGACACTGATGGAAAGCAAGCTATATGTTCTTAACTCGAATCTTTGCTACGTGGACGACACAGGTGACAGTTATCAATGGGGCAGATGCATATTGTTCTCGGAAACAAAATGGCTTATGAATAGTAATGATAACATGTTGTACCATTCTTGCCATACAAGTAACCCCAAGCAAACACTGTTAAACAATGCTGGTCATGCCACTGATTGTATATTTGGCAATTGTCTAGACTAATTACACGTCACCTTGTTTTCAGGTCAGTCACATGATCAGACAAATGTTGCAGAGGCAGACTTGTTTTTGTCATCAGATAGTTTCTTCTTGTCGTCTCCATATTCTTCAATAAACGAACCATCTTCTTTGAATTCTGGTCCTTCGCCGTAGCCATCTAGACTGTCATTATCATCCGACATTTTATCCTTGTCAAGAGAGCCTTCGCTAGGATAGGGTGGGGGGTTGTCATCCATCCTGGAATAGGAAATGAAAATGAAATAAATGAATGAATAATTTAAAAAAAATCTTTACCAC